CATGATTCCAATTCTGTAACTCCCTGCTAGGCTGCTGTATCTCTACCACACAGCAGAGTGCTAGTGAGAGCACTAAAACAGGTTTTAAGAAGCTTAATCAGTGACATCACCAATGTCTAAAAACCCTAGGGAGGTGCAAGATCAATGCAACCAGGCAGTACAAAATGTCTACACCAACAGGAGTCAGCAGTCATTCCCCCGGGCTCCCAACATTAAAATGCTCTCCCTGAGAAAGCAAGGTCTAACGAACAGAAAAGGTAGCCCAAATTAAGAAGTTTTTTCAATACTTTGTCTCATAAAAAATTAACACTTCTGATCACAAGGTAAAAACCACAAGAGCCCAGACAACAAGTGACCCTAAGAGAATCTTGGCTGTTGTACGTTAATAGTAAGTACACCGATTGGTTCTGTTAGCATCTCTAGCTTTGTTATTTCAAGTGGCACAATCATCAAAGATGGTAATTTTCTTAAACAAGCACACGAAGCCAGCCAAGCTACCTCTCCTGTCTGCAACTTGCCAGACAAACATGGATTGGGAGGTGGCTCTGGGAGCGCTGCCCCACACAGCTGCCCTCCCCACACTATCAGCCGTCTGCCACCAGAGCCCCTGCCCATGGCTGAAGGCTCTGGGCTACGCTGCAGGACACAGATAAGGGAAACAGTTCCTTTATTCTCCTCTTCTCCCTGTCCTATAACCCAACAAGGCATGATCTCTGACACACAGTACTGCAAACATCTCACACGTGGGGAAGGGATAAATATAAGAAGTGGATGAGCACACCCAGAGACACCAAAGCACTGAAAACAGTTTCCAGCCCAAAAACTTGTCAGCATTCAAAGAAGTCACTTCCTGCAGTTTCCTTTAAAAGTTTGTCTCTCTAATTCCACAGCGAAGTTCTTAAAGGTGGTGGGTGGCCTCTTGCTCAAAGCTACACAAATTCCAGAAGGCGGCACACTGCGCTGAATTTTAAAGAGGGTTTCAGGAATTAGACTCATAATCCTGATGTCTTCACCCAGCAAGTCAGTAGAAGTCAAGCTAGAGAACTAAGCGAGCAGACACGTGGATAAATATTAAATAGTGAGAAAGTATGGGGTTTAAAGGAAAATATATTCACGAATGTGTTGAAGTTCCAAGAGAGATTACGTGGATAAACTAAGACAGGCCACCTAGACTTCAGGATTTCCAGAAGGTCCCCTCTGATCTCCAAGAAAACTAAACAGCTACGTTTATGAATAAATAATTAGGTAAGAAAGGAGAGAGACAGAACAGTCAGTTTTCACAAAGGAGTGAGATAACCCCTTGAGTCCCATAGATCTCTCTACTGCAGCCTTCTCTTTTACATCCTTAAGCATGAAAAAGGTGGGGTGAGAAAAAGGAGATTTTGTTTCAATAGCAAATCACTTGCTGACAATATTAAATCATTAACATGAAAGCGAACTCTAAAGCACACCCCTGTCCCCTGAAATGCCTTACACAACAGGGATTTGGTTACAGATAACTTCAGAGTCCATCAGCACTCCTTCTTGGATTGATTTCTGCAGGTTCTGGATCCCACACACCTTTCTTTTCATGTTCTTGCTCCAGTGGCTCCAGAATACCATCATCTTCATCCCTGTACCCGTAGTATTCTGCATCAATGGACTTCATCAGCTCAGCTCGAGTCTTCCGGGGCGGTGGGAGGGCTGCAAGAACACACGACTGTCATTCATACTGGAGTCCCAGTATGGAGCAAGGCTACTATATTAAAGGAACTGAAAAACTGTCCCAAGCTCCCCCAGACCATGTCATACTTCCCATAATTTTTCCTTGCATATGGCAAAAAGGAGCTGATTCAGCATTTTCAGGGCCAAATAATTCCCACTCGTTCTATGACAAATCAAAATATAAGATTTTATCTACTTACATCTAGTTTTTCCTGTTATGAAAGGAGGTTCCTGCTTCTAAAATTATGTCCAAGCCAACCTTTTTTTTTTTTTTTCCAAATTATGGACTCAAGAGTACAGTTTAGAACTTATCAATAAAGTTAACCTGTTACGCTGGAAGGTTTCTACGGAACATTAGTCCTTGCTATTTTGAACTCCTGGGAGAAAACACTTTACTCTTATTTCTTTAATTAAACTGCAAACAGCCAAAGGTGTTCTTTGCCCAAAGAAACAGCATTTAATTACTCGTGTTCAACATTTAATTTAGTCAATCTAAGGCACAGCCCAGGTGTTTGCTGTTACTTGCACTCCCCCCATACTACAGCACATCTCTTACTCCAGAGATCCTAGGGGGCAGGCTCAGGTCAGGGAAGAGTTGCTATTTACTTACGCTCCTTTTCGAAAAGTTCTCTAACTCCTGGTAAATCCTTTGCAGCTCCAAAATATTTGTAACCTCTGTTTCCTGGAACTTCTTTCCCTTCATGATCTAACATTTTTGGTCCAATCCGCTGGAAAATAAACAGAATTAATTGTTTAAAAATGTATTCCTTTTGCATCTTGTATTTCCTTGGCCTCTTACTAGATGAAAGGACTGAGAAAGGAGGTATGTTACACCAGTTCAAACAACCCCACAAGTAAAAGGCCCTCATAGCTCATTTTTACATACATTCTCTTCTTTTAATACAAATCACAGTTAAAACAACCACACGAACCACACCTGATTCACCTTGACATAAAACAGCCAACCCTGCCATCCTCTGTACTAGTATATTCAGGCATCAGACAAACAAGCTTTACTAAGTCTGACAATAAGCAGAATTTGCTGTTTTGATAAGTGAGAACTAGTCCCATTATTTAATTTTCAGCAGTAACGAGGTGAGCTAAGTGAAAACCTTTCTACAGACTGATAAAGGACAATACAGGAAAAAACCCACCCCCCACTGATGGGTCAAATCAGAGCATGGCTGCAAACTCCTACCAGGAAGGTAAGCCCTCCTGAACCCGTGTTCCCAATGAAAAGCCTGATTTTCTCATCATTGAAACAAATATTTCTTCTAACACAATCTAACATCTTTAGGGGCTGAATAAAGTTCCTCTCTAATAGGTTAGATAATACTAACCAAGTAATACGTGGTTAGCTGAACATTGCACAGATGTCCTCACTAGTCAACTAGTCAAGCAGAACAACGAGGTAGGACAAACTAATCCCCACTTACAGCATAATCTGGACCTCCCAGCTCCTTTATTCTGAATTCCCAGTGTCCCTTCTCCCTCAGAAGTTTGTTTATTTCATCATTCAGGTCCCGAATTCTGAATTCACCTAATCCGGCTGTTAATGAAAAAGGCAATAAATTAGGCAGCTTCCTAGAAGCACCAGAATAATCTCAGAATTTATGCAATGGAAACAGTACAGTTCACATGAAATTTGATTTCTGCTGTAACTGCTTGCGACTGGAGATTCAAAAAAAACCAAAACGTAATTAGAAAAATCTTACCATTTTGAATCTGTGCCACTTTCTTGGATATTTCACCAATGATCTAGGTAAATAAGAACACATAAGTTAATTTCTCAAAAAAAAAAAAAAAAAAAAAACCCAAAAAAAAACACCTGATTAGGCTCCATGCATTTTGCTCCCAGCAGCTAACTTACCCATCTTTCTTGCCCTCCAGACCCATTCCCTTTTCAGAATTTTATACTGTGGAATTAATTGCTTGCAAAAGCATAAAATATTTTTGGTTTTCCTGTGTAGTCCTCCTCCTCTCTGCCTTTCTTAGCTCTCATAAACTTTCTAAAAATATGCTGAGAGTGTAATTCATCCTGGGTATAATTCCAGAGATCAAGCTACTTAGGAAGCAATCTTGTAGAAACATAAGGTGAGTTCTTCATATTCTGAGTTTGATGACAGGAAAGGAAATTTTGGAAAGGACTTCTCTCTCACTTGGTTCCTATATTTTTCAAGACTGACACCTGAAGTAGAGACTCAGTGGTTAATGCAGATGGGATCTGCTATATGCCTAGACCATTAACTATTATGGTCATACTTGGAAAGATTTTTCATAGAAGCAATGTTTAGATCTCTAATAATGGCTGTGGAAAATCAAGAACACAAAATACATTTGTAAACGGAAATAAGGTTTTCACAGCTACAGTTCTTTTCCAGGGTACTGGAATATTGCATAAGGATACTATACAAAAAAGAAGTTGAATGAAAACACTTAACCTGCAAGGATTTTTTCTTCACTTTTCCTTCTGTTTATAGACTATCACGTCTCTTTAAATGTTGCAGGGAAACTGAACACCTTTCTTTTTTAAAAAAAAAAAAAAAAAAAGCAAACCCTAGAAAGATCCAACTTCTAAGCTGCTTTTTTGATCTAGAAAATGGACCTGAGCCTATCAATTTCAAGTATCAACACAGAATGTATTCAGACACAATTAAATTACCTCAGAAGCTTAAAACCCAAGGTTTTTACAGCAGTCCATGTGATGGGGGTGGGAGCCTGTGAAGTACAGGGAAAGGCTGAGGGAGAACTGGGTTTGATCCATCTTAAGATGAAGAAAACCTACTGCTGTCTTGTGGAAGGTGTAGAGAAGCCAGAGCCAGACTGTTTGAGAGGTGCACGACAATGGGACAAGTAGCAACAAACACAAGTTGGAACAGGGGAAATTCTGATTAAATTCAAGGGGGGAAAAAAAATCATTAAGGTAATCAAGCACTGGAACAGGGGCACCAAAAAGCTGTGGAATCCAAATCCCTGAAGGTATTAAAAAAAATCTGTTGGACATGGCCCTGAGCAACTGGATGTGGTAGGTCCTGCTTTGAACACCCTGGTGAAGCACATGATCTTTGTTGAGAGATATTAGTTGTTTAGCTTAAATAAGTAACTTTTAATTACAGTAAATTACTTAGAGTTATAATATGGTGTGATTTACACTGTTTGCCTAGCTTTACTTGGCATGAGTCACTAGATCTGCTGAAGCCTTTAGGCCACAATAAAGTTAATTTTCTATAATAATTTTCCTAGCAGCTGGTACAGTGCTGTGTTTAGCTTTTTTAGGAAGAGGAAAATGTCAATAGCAGGGCTGATGTTTTGGTAGTGTTTTCCCAAGCCTGGGACTTCTCAGTTCCCCACGTTCTATCAGCGAGCGCAGGTGCACAAGAAACATAAACCAGAAGATAAGGAGGGGACAACCCTCAGCAGAGACTGCAAATCAGCAAGGTAAGAGCAGCCAACAGCTGCTCTGTCTGGACACAGAAAAAGAATCCAATGCGGTGTTAGAAAACCCCATCTGGACCATTGGACTAAAAGATGCATGAACAGAGTGTGAAGAGCAGCAGGTGAGGGGTGGGTGTAGAGATGGCAAGGGTGTAACTGCCCAGGGATTTCTTCGTTCAATGTCCCTCTCTGGAGGCACCCAGCCCAGGCTGAGCCTTTCAATTAAATCATTTATTTTTATAAAACCTGACACTCAAGACTCTGCTGCAGGAAACTCAGGGTCAAACCCAAAGGAGTGCACCAAGGAGAGAGACAGAGGGAGAGTGTGTGTGCATGTAAAAATTTGTAATCAGGCTGCCTAAATAGGAAGTGCTAAATTAGAATATCTGTAGCTTAACATTACCTGTCGCCTCCATTTCTCAGCTTTAGGCAATTCATTACACTCTGATGCCAAGAAAGGTCTTCGTTCCTGTTTGACAGAAAGCCACACACCACGAAGTTTTAATCCAGCATCACCATATTTACAGCATTTCACGCAAACTTTATTGCTTAATCCCAAACTATGCTACCAAGCTCCAGTGCCTACTGCTCCCACATAAGTGGAAAACAACCAAATTAAACCATCACAGAATGTAAAAATCTACTTGAACCCACTTTATTCAAAAGAAAATGTCACCTGTTTTTTTCAAAACACCCCACAAACCTCTCCAATACAAATAACATTCCATTTAGGGCATCTGAGTTATCACATCATTTCCATTATACTAGAATCTAAATAAAATCCACTGTCTTCCAAACAGCGATTAAGTTTAGGCCTTTCTTTCTCAATTGCTACTATTTAAATAATGTAATTTTTTTTCCCCAAGATGATTTTGTTTTGTACTCTTCCCAACTAACTACAGTTTATCCAAAACACCTTTATTCCAACCTTCTTCACATTCCATGGACTTGCTTACAAAAACTAGTATTTCATCTTAACCTCTAGGACTCTGTGTAGGGACCCTTCCCTACAGTATTTCCACAGCTCGACCTTTTATATATTAAAAAGCCTTTCTTGACATAATTTACCAGAAACTCTATTCCATCTTATTCTCTGGCTATAATTAATGGAATCTTTTCCACCATAGTTTCCCCAAACTGTTATTTTCCACTTTACTGTTTCATATTGCTTGCACTTGTGTGTAAAACATCATTTCTTAACATAGGACACCTCAGTTTCCAGAATTCTTCTAATTAAAAATTATAAACCTGTACCCAAAAAGAGGTTACTGAGAACACTCTGATCCCCACATAAATATTCTTGCAATTTGAGTTATGATTCCGTGAAAAATGTACAGGAATATCCAGAGATAGCTGAGAATCAGTCTTTAAGGTTCTTCTGCATGGTTTGAGGGATGCTATTTCTCTCACTGTAGTGGTGGGGTTTTTTTAATTATGAGTTGTTAAGTTCATTTTTTTTGGTTAATCTTACACCAATCAAAAAAAAAAAAGCTGCACAATAGTAAAGAGAATTATGAACAGAGGCACAGCTATCATCTCTTGGGTTAATAACATGCCAATGTTATGTCTCATGCAAGCCTCAAGTTCACAATGATTCTGAAGACCCTCTTCCATGGTTACTGTTTTGTCAGAACACACCTATGAACAAGACTATGAGAAGGATTTCTCTACCTCCTCTGGGAAGAAATCCAAACAAACCTTGTGATTACAGTCAGTAAAAGTAAGTGCACATGAATCAATTTGCGTATGTAGTTGCAGAAGGAGGTAACTTTCTGTTTTCTGCCCAGCATGCTGCCTCCATTTATAGCATTATTGGAGTTGGGTTTTGTGTTTTGCGTTTAAACTACTAGTTATTCTACCTGCATTACATAAAAAAAATAAGCAATGTTCAGATTTCACTTTCTTCTCAGCAGCCAAGCCAACACACCTCTGAAACACATAACTAATTAACCCATTTATGTAAGAAAATTCTCTTTGCCACTTCTGTTTTACATCACTGCAAAATGCAGTCCCTGCTGCAGCTGCCTTCCAGATAACTAGTGCCGTGCTCCTACGGACACCTGTATCTGGCAGATGACCCTTCTGACAGCTGTCAGGCAGCTC